AAGAAAAAATATACCTTATAAATTATGCCTACAATAATAATGATATTAAAACGTAATTAATCAGGAGCAGTAAGATCCAATAAGAAGCCATTGAATCTACTCTTAAAAATGAAAATATCCATTATATTTATAGATATTCCAAGTTTAGTTAAAATAAATTAAAATTCATACAAGTCAAAACAACAAAACTTAAAAATTTTCCTTGAAGTATGAGTCTTCACTTATACTAAGCACATTCACAAGAAATTTTAAAAAAAATTGAACATTTTAACTCAACTAATTTTTTTAACTCAATTTTAATTCAACTCCACTATCATCAATATAATTAAATAATATAAATCAATCATTCATGTACACCACATCAACCTTAATTTACTATCATCAATTTACATTATTTTGACTAATCATCACTTCAGATTATGTATCTCCTACTTTTACATCAAATCAATTTTAATTATTTTATTTTAATATATCCTCTACAACTAACTATGCCACCATTTTCAAAATTAATCAAACAAAACCAAAAAATCCAACAAAACAAAAAAAAAATTATATCCAAACATAGCTCTAACTATTTCTATGGGGTTTATTTTGGCCTTTGGGCGCGTGTTAAGTAGCTTTGTACAAACGCTATGGTGTACGGCACGCATGTACAACTACGGCAACGTCTCCGCATTGGGGTAACACACAGTAAAGAGGAGGAAAGAAACTTGCATATTCTGCAAAAAGAATACCAGGTTCCCAGTTTTACTCCCTAAGTTAAGAATTAGGGCTTAGCAAATTTCTCCAATGGCTACATTTGGCGCTGCTTCTACGAACGTCAACCCTAACCGTTCCTCTGAGGTAATTATAATTTACTTGCTTCGTTTAAGTTTTGTGTAGTTTTTGCTGTACTTGATTTCTCAAGGTTCTCCATCCAATATTTTTGGTCTGGAAGTGTTGAGTTCTGATGTGAATTCTTTTATATGAATGCTAATTTCTAATTTATTTCTGCTTGCGGAAAGGTGGCGCAACCTCCTAGTGATTCAGTATCAAGCCTATGTTTCAGTCCTAAAGCAAATTTTCTGGTCGCTACTTCATGGGATAATCAGGTATAGTTGTTATTTTTATGTTTGCTAATTATTTGTCCTTTTCGTGTTTTCTTGTACTTCCTATCCCTTTTAGATCCTTTTTGTTCTCCTATATGTACATTGCAATGTAGTGTATTTGGTAGTTGTGAGGGGTTTCCTCATGTCCATTCATGAAGATTAGGGTTTACTTTTGTTTGAATTGACGGCCATATGGGCCATGTCTTGCGTTTTAATAAGTTACCAATATTATTTTCTTAATTTAACTTCGTTGAGAAAGAAGTAGTTTAGAAATTTCTCCACCAAAATTATTTTCTTAGTATCTCTTTTCTTTGCTTGGAAATTTCTCTTTCTGGTGGACGTCATGACATGTATTGTTTCAGGAATGGGGCCAAATTTGGAAATTGTTTGATGTTCAACAAGTCTCCCTGTTTCTGTTTGTGGATGAAAAAACTAATTTGGTGCATCTTATGCCAAATTCTTGTTAGGTAAGATGTTGGGAAGTAATGAAATCAGGAAGCACAATCAACACTGTTCCAAAGGCATCAATATCTCACGACCATCCGGTAATATTTCATTTTACATGATGATATGACTATAACTCGTGAAAGTTTTGCTCCTTGATAACTAACTGTGTAAGCTTGGCCAGGTCTTGTGCTCGGCTTGGAAAGATGATGGCACAACAGTCTTTTCTGGAGGCTGTGACAAGCAAGTCAAGATGTGGCCGCTGTTATCTGGTGGTCAGCCGGTTACTGTTGCCATGCATGATGCTCCTATTAAAGAACTCGCTTGGATCCCAGAAGTGAATCTTCTAGCCACTGGCAGCTGGGATAAAACAATAAGGTGAATTCATTTGTTCCTTCTCGTTATTTAAAGTGACAAGTCAGGAACCTTTAGATACTAACTTTTTAGGATATGTGAAACCTTGTCTGAAGAATTCGTTTATCTATTCGAGTGTGAAAAGATGAGATGTATGACGATCTCCTATATGCTGAACTTTCGTGAGTAGCTCTTAGCTTCATATGCACTTTTTGGCATTTAAGATTTGTACTACTTTTCCAGTTATGAGTTATCATCTGCATGTAAATAAGGCAAAATCTGTGGGGCTGTTCATATATTATATTGTCTCGTATTTGTTGGCTTTGGAAGAGTACAAATCGCTTCAAGCTGTGTAGACTCTAGACCAACTTGGGTTATTTATTTGTGTTGGAAATTTCTACTGTAAATGGCTCGTGTTTCATTTTGTTGGTTTAATTAGAATTGGATCTTCTCGAAAGAAATTATAAAGTTATGAGTGTCATCTTTTTCTTTCTCAAATCTCAAACTATATATATATAGGATGTGGTTCAAATGAGAACCAAGTCTTAGCGTGAGAACCGCTATTTTCAATTGTACGTTGTGCTATGATTGATAGTGTTTTAGTGCTATTTTTAATTAGGATGTATTTTATTAAGACCTAAGGATTGTTGGCACTTTAACATTACTGTCAAATGTTTTTTCTTTCAAGTTTCAAGTCTACCTCATTTTGCAACATTGGTTGAAAGTGAAGATTTCGTCTCTGCTCAGGTATTGGGACTTACGGCAGCAAAATCCAGCTTTGATGGTGCAGCTTCCTGATCGCTGCTATGCACTTTCAGTGAGACATCCTCTTATGGTTGTTGGAACCGCTGATAGAAATCTTATAATCTACAACCTTCAGAACCCTCAGGTTTTTTTTTTCTTCATTATATCATTTTGATATCTTTTAAAAGGTTTCATGAATCAGACTACGCCGTGGTAAAGTATAATATTGTCTCATACTTCACAAATTTAGTTATGGATGATGGTAAAGGGAAACCTTAGTCCAAAACTGGTTCAGCAGTCAGTTCCGTTCGGTCAGCTAGAAACACATATGTTATGTGTTTGTATGTGTGACTAACAAATAAAGTAGGATCCTATCTATTTTACATTTGAACTTTTGTAAGTAAGAATTTATTCATTACATTTATATTTACATAATGTAATAAAAAATGCAATTTGTTGCATTTTACTAGCTGCTAGATTTGCAAATGATACTTCTAAGAACGCCTAATTTGAATTTCGTTTCTCATTCCGGCTTTCCAGAATGCAGATCATTGGCCTTTTTGACATTAGTGGTTTTAGGTCTTGTTGGCATTAGCATTTAAATTATCGTGCACCAGTCTTTTTGCCCATTCAGCCATTCACTGGAAATAAGTACATTTCACATTTGTTTGTGTATTTAAGCTTACTTATCTTTGACTAACAATTGAAATATGAGATTCATGATGTACGGAGAAAACTTGACCGGTTATTTGTTGAATGTGGCAGACAGAATACAAGAGAATTGTATCACCCCTCAAGTACCAGACCAGATGTTTAGCTGCTTTCCCTGATCAGCAAGGTTTCTTGGTAAGTCTCCCTGTATTTGAGTATTTCATGCCCATAATCTTCATCTATTCATATTTGCGAATCAATCTGTTAATATATATTTCAGGAGTGGCACTTATTGTGATCCTACTATGTTTAACACTATTATCTTAAGGCGTGAAACATACTCTCTGACCTGAATGGAATAATATCATCATCTCATATTCTCGCTATATCATCAAAAAATAATTTCAATTTTTATATTATTGTTATTTTCTTATTTATGTTATTGTTAATGTTATTTTTATCTTTTAAAAAATTATACTATACAATAAATATTTTTATACCGTATATTAAGTTAATAAATCATTTGTATTTATTTAGTTAATTAATACAAATATATCATCAGTAAACCTTATATAGTCATGTAATGTTGTATATAATTGTTTATAAGTGAATTAATATTATGAATAAATATATAATATATATGAATAGATAATATGAAATATCAAACTTTTTATAATTATATACATATATATATTTTTAAGTTTTTTAGTTTTATATAGCAAAATATGAATAATAAATAAAAAGGCAATTTCTCATTATTTAATTTAAATTTATCTTCCAAAATAGATTACTTCAAATATAATTTAATAATGAATTGTATTATATTTTATATGTTTATTTCTCATTGCTAGTTAGTTTAATTTTTGAAAAATTAAAGATTAAAGGTAGGGTAATGAATAATTCCATATCGTAATTAAGGAATGACTAATCACATGAGATAGGCTTTGCAATTTTCATTGGAATGGTTATTCAACCTCTAAATTATACCAATCAATGAACTGGGAACGATCCCCGTCGATATTTCCTGAACTTCTCAACTTGACAAGGATAGCGCTTTTCCTTCTCAAAGATTTGCCTTTTCTTCACTTCTCCCGCCTTGCTCATGAATCATTTTGGTATCTACCAATCTAGTAGCTACTTTCCAAACCTGATAGAGCATGACTACTCAATTCTGATGTTATTCTATCATGCTAATCAAGTTATTAGTGCTTATGTTCCGTTGTTACTCGATGTTGGATTCTATAATTCTTGTTTGCACATTTCTATTTAGTAGATTTGAACATGTAAAGAGGGTCAAGAAAGTTATCTTGAAAAGGAGTGTTATGTGAAATATTTTCTGATTTGCAATAATGATGAAACGCATAAACCTAATATCTTTACACTTGGACATTTTTTAGGTTGGATCAATTGAAGGAAGAGTTGGTGTACATCATCTTGATGATAACCAAGCAAGTAAAAACTTCACTTTTAAATGCCACAGGGATTGCAATGACATTTACTCAGTCAACTCACTAAATTTTCACCCTGTAAGATCTTTTAATGTTTACATGTTTATCAAATTGGGTAGTTTATCATTTCCTATTGGTGCTCCTTTTCCTTCTTCATGAATTTACCTTCGTGGCTTAAATTGTAAATTCAACCAATCATGAATTTATACTCGTGCTTTGTTGGCAAAGGGAAGAAGATTATTTGCTTTTTGCCTGTGGCATACTAGAAATAAGTGACAATCAGAGGAAAGTAAAAACTGATTGCTTATAAAATACTTCATATACTTATTTTGGAGTTCATCAACTTCTGTATGAAATTATGAATGCTTGAATTAATATTAAATAGGTCAACATATGGTTCTTCTTGGAAAAGAACAAATGTCTATTATAGCCCTTCTTAGAAATAGGAAGAGCTTATCAATTTCTCATCTACATATTTGATTTCTTATTATTATTCATTGAGAAGAATGATACCATCATGAAACATCATCTGTTAGGCACTGTAAATCTTGTAGGAGATTATTGACTTTTAAGTTATCTTGTATGATGCTACAAAGAGCTAGTCAGCTGATTCATCTGCATCTTATTTTATTTACTTAGTAAGTTTTTCCTGTTTTTGTGGTTTTTTGTCGATTTTTTTTACACTAAATTTTTCGCCTGAAAAATTTTCATTCTTTTGCTTTGCAATGTTTACGTGTCTTACTACATTAAGCTGTTTCTTTTAGATGGTCTTTAAATATTTCCTGATTCGTGGGTTAATTGCTTCCTATTTTGTCAAAAGTGTATTCAATTAATTTCTGTAGTTCTTTCTGAAATGGTTTATATTGTTGCAACATCTCAGATACACCATACATTTGCGACCTCTGGGTCTGATGGAGCCTTTAACTTTTGGGACAAAGATAGCAAGCAGAGGCTCAAGGTATAAAACATTTTTTGGCTTCAGTTTGCAAAGGCTTCTTATGCATGTCTGATCTCACTATTTTCAAAATTTCCTTTGTTTTGTTTATTTAGGCTATGCTGAGGTGCAATCAACCAATACCTTGCAGTGCTTTCAACAATGACGGATCTATCTTTGCATATTCGGTACATTATATCTTGCTATTTCTTGTAAATGTTTTTTACTATCTTCGAAAAGATCACTTACTATAAAAGTTTTAGCCTAAATTCAAAAAATTATCTTCTCAAAACTACAAGTATATCCTGCTAAAGTTTTGTAAGGGGATACTTGTGATTTCTAAAGATAACTAGTTTACTACAAATAGGGCATACCTTGGATGGTTTTTGTCGCAAACCCTTTTTGGACATTATGTTCTGACTGGTGGTGTATCTTCAACTAACATTTTTCATACAAACAACTTACTCCAAATAGTTTGGACTTTGTAGTCTGTGTTAGCAAATTATGATAAAAATAAAAATAAGATGGATGTGCTCTGTGTCTTGGATTTGTTATCTATCCTTATGAATTCAGGTGTGTTATGACTGGAGCAAAGGCGCTGAGAACCATAATCCATCAACAGCGAAGACCTACATATACCTACATCTTCCTCAGGTAATCTTATTCAAGTATATCTAAAGCTTATTTTTGTTTTTTTGTTTCTTTTCTTTTCTGAAATAATATTTCTGCTGTAAATTATATAACTGCATGAATTCGCCATCAATAATTGCAGGACGCAGAAGTCAAAGCCAAACCACGTGTTGGAACTAGCGGCAGAAAGTGAAAGCATACTTAAAAAGAACATCTCATTTCCGATGGATCAAAATCATATATTCTGTATTAGGAGATCATGCATTACTAGTCTTTGTCTTACCATAACTGCTGAATCATACATTAATTTGCTTCTCTGATGATTGTGTGTGCTTGTGGCATGATCACCGTCCTCTGGTCGAACTAAATTGCTGCTTTTGTTCAGAGGAGCCACCAATACATAACTCCATTAGTTGTTTTGTTTGATCTACTTTGATGATAGTCCACAAGATATAGTTTCATCTTTGAGGTTGTAAAGCGGAAAAGGCATTTGTTGGAAGTTGAGGTTACCAAAGAGTTGGGTGTGGAAAAAAAAAAAAAATTCATAAGACGGAGGAATTGTCCTTGTTTGGATTTGTTTTGGGTTATATGGAGTTCAGGGGTTTTGTTCAGATTCAGAAGAGCTTGCACTCTGGATTTCCGTTGAACTTGTCACTATCTTCTCCTTAATGAATTTAATGTAATTCCAAGCATTGTAGTGTAAAGGCACATTTGCATACCCAGATAAATGATAATATTGGACTTCTCAATAAAAAATATTGTAGCCAAAAAAAGTATCTTTTATTTACATGTTTGGGAACAACAATAATGTAAAGTATAATAATGTGGAACAAAAAAACATGTGTGTTAAAAAAGCATCTTTTATTTACATGTTTGGGAACTACAATAATGTTAACTAAATTGTCTTTAAAAAGTAACTACATGTTGGCTTTGATGAGGGTGTAGTGAGTTCTCCTTGTGAGATGAAAAAGTCTCTCTCTAGAGATTCAATTCTCCTTGTGAGATTGTTCTCCTACATCCACAAATCCTTTTTCTTTTTATCTTGTATTTCATCCTGATTAACTTTTCTATCCTTGGTTCTTGTTCTTGTTAGAGTTAGGGTTTAATTTCTAAAGTTTCAGGGTCTTGTGTTTCTAGTCTATTGAGGTTTCGGTTCAATTTGTTTTGTCCTTTTGCTTTGCTGGGGGATCTATTTACCTACTCCTTTCCATCATCTAGGGATCGATCTGGGGGGTTGGGATTTGTTCGGTGTCAATTGAGGTAGTTCTTGTTGGTTACTTCACACATGGATCAGGAACTCTCAGAAAAATGTTGCGTATCAAGCTGTCGGAAAAAGAGTGGCAGGATGTAGAATTATCGAAAATCGACATTGCAGAGGGATTGAGGGAGTCTAAGCTCAGTTTAATCGGGAAATCTTTTGGGGATAAAAAGATCAATTTTGCGGGTCTGCTCACCATTCTGTCTAACATATGGGTCACCAAAAAGCCGTTTTCAATGCGCAATCTTGGGGATAATAAATTTCAATTTATTTTCCAGCTGGAGGAAGATAAAGAAAAGATCCTGGCAGGGAAAACATCGTCATTCGATGGGCAGTACATACTACTCAAAAATTGAAACCCAACGGAGATGGATTTCACTGAAGAGGAGGCATGTATCAAAATTTGGGTGCAAATACATAATCTGCCATTACACGGGGTGTCAGCGGAGGTGGGTTTGAAGATTGGTAGAAAAGTTGGTACAGTACTGGATCTTTTGCTTCCAGGGGCAGGGAGTTCAAACGGGCAAGTCATCAAAGTCCTGGTGGAACTGAAATTGAAGGATCCATTGCTTATAGGTACAAAATTGAGAGTGGGCAATGATACATGCTGGGTTGATTTTAAGTATGAAGGTATCCAAAATTTATTCTTTTACAGTGGTAAGGTGAGACATTCTGATAGAAATTGTCTCTCTAAAAAAGAAGATATTTCTAGAAATGTGCTTAATGTAGGGCAATATGGGGATTGGCTCCGAGCTTCTTCTGTTTATAGTGGTGAGTCTAAAAGTCCTAAAGTGAATCCTGTGTCCAGTCAAAATAATGAGCCTGTGAAATCTGCAGCTTTTATATAGGTGAATCAGTCTGGAGGGTTAAAAGGTGGGGGTACAAGTGTTGGGCAATCTAGAGAGGAGGGTAGTGTAGCTTATATTAAAACTCAGTAAAATCCCAGAACTGACGATTCTGTTGTTAGAGCACCAGATATGGGGAAGGGTAAATTGGGTGTGGAAGATGAGGTTAGAGTAGTTAACTTTGAACCCCTACCTACTGATGATAGCCAATTAGTTGAAATCAATATTCAGTCATCATCTGTAGGAAATAGACTTATCCAAAGAAAAAAGAAATCTTTTATTAGGAGCCCTAAAGTTGGAGGGGAGGGGCAGACCTCTAAAATGATGATAGATTCTGAAGCTAGGGAGGGTGATGTAGGTTCAGCGGGGGGCTTTAGCAAAAAAAGAGTCTTAGATATGGTGAAGAAGGAGGATCAGGATGAGAGAGATAATCAAGAGGTTAAAAAGTTAAAAACATGTGATAAATTATTTCAGGATAAGGTAAGGGAGACTAGCCATAAATGGTCTCCCAGCCTTCAATGAAAGTATGTGTGTGGAACTGTAGAGGTATTGGAGGTCCCTCTACAGTTTTCCAAATCCGAGAAGTCTTAAGACTTCACCTGCCAGATTTTGTGTTTTTATCTGAGATTAAGAAAAAAATCAAAATTTGTTAAAACAGTGTGTAAGAAGCTTAAGTTAGGAGATAGTTGGAAATATGTTGATCCAGTAGGTGCTAGAGGAGGTATGCTCATTTTTTGGTCTTCTAATATTGTTATTTTGGATATTATAGTGTTGGATTTTTGTATGGAAGTTAAATTTTGCTGGGGGGGCTCAGGGGTGATTCAATGGGCAGTTTTTCTATATGCTAGTAATAATCCCATAATTAGGAAAATTCAATGGAGTGTTTTAATTAGACACAGTTTAGGATGGGGTGATCTGTGGTTTTTGGGAGGGGATTTTAATGATATACTTAACAATTCAGAAAAATCAAGAGGGAGTTTAAGAGAGGAGTATAGTTTTGAGGATTTTAGAGAACTGGTCAGAGTATTAGGGGGTGTAGAAGTCAGTACTCTAGGTTATCCCTTCACTTGGAGGAATAATAGACAAGGACGAGCCTTAGTTGAAGAGAAACTAGATAGAATTTTGTTTTCCCCTAATTGGTGTTTAAAATTCCCTAATGCCCGAGTTAAGCACATATCTTTATTATCTTCCGACCACAATATGCTTATTTTGGATAGCTGTGGTACATTGGACAACCCCAAACACTGGTTCCTTTTTGATAGTAGATGGTGCTCACTTGATGGATACAAGGAGATTGTAGAAGCTGCTTGGAACAAACCGGTGAATGGTCCTCTTTTATTCAGCATACAAGAGAGGATTAGAAATGTTCGGAAGGCATTGTTAGAGTGGAAAACAAGTCAGAAGTCCAATTCTCTAGTAACTATTGATAGATGTAAAAAAGATCTGGAGAGAATGGAGGGACAAGGCAGGGATAAAGATTGGGCTAAATGGGTGCAAATTAAAAGTCAGATGCATGCTGCCTACAGAAATGAGGAGAAGTTTTGGCGACAAAAGGCCAGAGTATGTTGGTTAAAAGATGGGGATAAAAACTCCAGGTATTTTCAAGCTATTGTTAGGAGCAGGAGAAAAATTAATAACTTGGAGAATATGCATAACTCTGTGGGATTGAGATGCTCTAATGATGAGGAAGTGGTTTCAGAATTGAAATGTTATTATTACCAGCAAATTTTCAAATCTACTAATCCTTTGGATCAGCGATGTAGTTTAGAAGGGATACTCACTTCAATCACAACAGAAATGAATGTCCAGCTTACTAAGGAGGTAGCAGAACCAGAAATCAAGGCTGCATTGTTTGACATGGATCAAGACAAAGCCCCTGGGGTCGATGGGCTGACATCCTATTTTGCTATATGGCTATTAAGTTAGATATGGCCAAAGCGTATGATAGGGTAGAATGAACATTTATAGCTAGAGTTTGTAGGAAAATGGGCTTCTCTGAGTTGTTCATATATTGGATTCTGGCTTGCTTAACATCTGTGTCTTATTCTTTTAATATCAGGGGCCAACCCAAGGGATTTGTGCAACCCACCAGAGGGCTTCGACAGGAAGATCCACTCTCTTCATATATTTTCCTAGTCATTTATGAAGCTTTTTCTAACTTGATTAAGCAAGCAGGTTCTTTGGGTAGGTTTGAAGGGATCAAAATTAGCAGGCATGCCCTGTGATTTCCCATCTTTTCTTTGCAGACGATACAATTCTGTTTTGTAAAGCAGATATGCATCATGCTCATATGATTTTATACTTTCTTGATTTGTATGGAAATGATTCTGGCCAAAGGGTAAATTTTGATAAATCTTCTATTTGTTTCTCTAAAAACAATTTTGTGGATGTTGAGAGAGCTATCTGTAATGTATTATCTGGTATTTCTAGAGTTAGATCCACTACTTATTTGGGTTTACCCCTGGGGATTGGGAAAAGAAAGAGAGAGATTTTTAGGTTTGTTAGTGAGAGAGTGAAAGAAAGAATTAGAAATTGGAAAAATAAATTTTTATCTGAAGGTGGAAGGGACACCCTAATCAAATCAGTGCTAGTTGCATTACCTACATATGTGATGAGTTGTTATAGGATGCCTTTGGGTCTTATCAAAATATGTGTAGGGATATAACTAGTTTTTGGTGGGGTAAGGGTAATGGTGGGAGGAATAAACTTCGGGACCTTAAAGACTTCAATGAAACTCTTCTGGTTAAACAGTTATGGAGAATAATTTCTAGGCCCAACTTGCTAGTTACTAGGTTGCTGAAAGGGAAATACTTTTGGAAAAAAAGGTTGAAAGATATTCAAGCCAAAGGTTCAGACTCATGGCTTGGTGCTAGAAAATCATTATATTTAGGTCTTAGATATCAGGTAGGGGGTGGGAAGGCTATTTCAGTGTGGGATTCTCCTTGGGTGCCTAATAATTCTAATTTTAAACCGACCTGTTATTTTGAGGGAGACAGAGAGAGGCTGAGATGGGTCAGCGACCTTATTATTCAGGAATCTAGTACATGGGATAGGGATTTAATTATCCAGACCTTGACTCCAGTAGATGCAGGAGCAATTCTTTCCATTCCTCTGACAAGGCATGATAGTAAAGATCAGCTGATATGGCATGGCAATAAGAAGGGTCTTTTCTCAGTAAAAGATGTCTATGAGGCCATCAAAAAATAAAAAAAGAGATTGCAGCAAGAGATTGGTACTAGTGAAGAAAATGCTGAGGAGAAGAAAATGTGGAAAACTCTTTGGGGTTTAAAGATAAAGCCTAAAATAAAATTTTTCTTGTGGAAGAGTTGGCATGGGCATATAGCAGTCAAGAACCAGTTGATCAAAAAAGGAATGGAGATTCAACCTTGGTATGAAGTGTGTGGGGACATTGAGGAGAGTTTAGAGCAGCACCTTCATTGCCCTAGAGCTCAGATTTGTTGGAATATAAGTGGTTTGGAATGGAGAATGCAGGAAGGGATCAAAACAACTTTTCAAATGTGGTGGCTGAATGCATGTGCAGTCAAAGAGTTACATGTTAGGGATGATAGACTCAATTTTTCAGCATATATATCTATACTTATATAATAAGAATTAACCTTTTTCAAAATTAGTAGGTCAATTCTTAGTCAACATCTTGTCTGCATTAAATGTTTACTAAAATTAGTAACTTTTATGTCCTTTTCACACTTTTTCTTTATGTCCTTTTCACACTAGATTATATAAATGAACGGATATTATCTCACCTTTCATTAATCTCACCTATAATTCATGTGAATTGATTGATTGCCTTTAACTTTTCAAAACGTGTGCTATCCATTGTTTATTACTATTATTATTATAGTATGCACGTAATCAGTTGATTAAATAAATTATATATTATTATTATTATTATACTCACCACGTGACAGTTAATTAAAATATATCTATACTATATTAAAAGGTATATCATTTACCAGATTTAATATAAAAAAAAGTCAACAACATTTATTGCATTACTATTTCCGTATTATACAATCTATACTTATAGAAAAAGAGATTCTATTTACTATATTTACTATCCAGAAAAGTCAACTGCATTAAATGTCATTACTATTTTGGTATTATAATATTTTATTTATTTAATTGTTTTATTTATTTGTTTTATTTTAAAAAGGTAAGTATAATAAAAAGATTTTAATAATAAAAAAATCAAATACCAAATAAAAATGTACACTTTGACTTATTTGATTATATTTGGTATTTGATTATACCAAATATATTCCTATTTAGTATATACATTAAATACTTACTAAAGTATTTGTTTGTTTTATTTGTCAAAGTTAAGTATAGATTTGTTTATATTATCAAATCATAAAAAAATATTAAATCCATATTGTAAAAAAAAAAAAAATATATAATTTTATAACAATTCTACTACACTATTTAACAATAATTTTTTTATTATATAATAAAATAATAATTAAATATTATATGGTAAACAACAATAAGTAAAACTGTTACTTTCTCTTATATCAAGGGATAAATTTATATGCTAAAATTAAATTTTTATTAGTATAAATGTTTTAGTGAGATAATATATTAATTATTTTACAAGCTAGCCCTAACATGCTCATATTTAATGTCTTAAAAGATGTAGAAAAAAAACTTAGAATAACTCTATTGTTTTTTAAACTTAAACGTTGATTAAAAGAGGTAAAAATTTCTAATTTTTTAGACTTAAACGTTGATTAACACCATAGATTGAGAGTTTATATTTAGTAAAATTCCTTATTGTAATAAAAAAATTAATTTTTGCTATATTTTAGAATATCTTTAAATTCATTATATATAAAAAGAAAAAAAACTACAATGAAAAAAGCAAGTCAGCTATATATCGATTTGTTGTACTCCTCAAATCACATTCACAATTTGGCTACAAGAAAAGGAAACTCATTGATTAAAATATTATTTTGTCAGTAGCCTTAATGTACAAGAGACTTTAAGACTCCACTTGAATATTATACAACTTTTATTGAACATTGTATAATTTTCTTGCGTATTATAAACTTTTATTGAATATTGCATCTTATAATATAATATTCTCTAAATAAATATATCTCGTGCTTTGCACGGGTCACGTACTATATATATTCCGTACATCTTTCTTTATTCATGTATATAATTATAAGCCTAGATAAATAGCCTTAAAAATGTACATCCCGTGCATCGCACGGGCTCTGTACTGGTTGTGGAGAATATGGAAAAGCAGAAACCGGTGGATGTTCCAAAGGGAGAAAGAAAGTGAAGTACTCACTGTATCATTAGCTAGGGCGGAGTGGATGGAGTTTCAGAGCATTAGAGAAAAATTTGAATTATGGGGGCCACACAATCAGCTCTCAGGGGAATCAAATGTAGGGCAGTTTTCAAAGGGGGTAGGGCAGCCTTGTTGTACTGTCAGTGTCACAGGTTCTACATTTGGTAAGTTTGGTGTTGGTTGTGTAGTTGTAAATAATGGGGAAGAAGTGTGTAGATTTTCTTGTGTATTAAATGCTACTGGGGATCAATGTGAAGAATTGCTGATTGCTATCAAAATAGTCATGCACCATCTGAAGGCCAATAATTTACATAATGTAGTTTGCTGTATTTTTAATTTTAATGTCTACTGGTTGCTGCAAAAGGAAGACAGACCACATCCTCAGTTTAGAGCACCCGCATTGGTGCCATTATTTTGGCGTTTGAACGCAGCAAGGCCATTCAACAAGGATGCAAGCCATTCATTTAAAGGTGGGACCCTTTGTCCATTCAATGTAATGAACGACACTTTTAGTGCTTTTATTTTCATTTATAATTATTTAATCAATTTATTTTATACATGAGTGGATAGTAGGTCCCATTTATGTACTTAAATGAATGTGTAGGGATGTAGGTGTGTGTTTAAATGGTGAGAGAATTAGTGAAAAAATGATGTGGATGTGAGAGAGTGTAACTTTTTGATTGAATGAATGAAAAAAAAATTAATCAATGTGGATGCCCTTAATGATCTTTTGGATGGTATCTTACAAGAGGCTATGAAAGATAAATTTTGTTCTTTTGTTTTTGATCCTGGTTCTTGTAATTTTAGTTTTGAGATTGCTTCTATAGCGGTTTTCGGGTTATAGTGTGCGACAATACCGGTTTGGCTAGGCTTGGGTTCTGTAATATTAGCAGTTAGCCATGTGTCCAGTTGGACATTCGATTGTAAGACCTCTTTGAGTTTGATAATGTCAAATATATCGTTGGAAAAAAAAAAATAGGGTGTAAGTGTAAAATCAATTGAGTAGATAAAGTGGACAAAAATTATCTTACCTTGGAGCTATAATTAATTATCATAGCATAAGCATATTATTTCATGGGCTTCATACCTAGTTTTTCGGGCCTTTAAAATTTAGCGGGCTTTTATCTTTAACCGCATTGTATTCAACAGGCCATATAAATTTTGGTTAATTTACACGTGTTGCATGATTTGAAACTCTTGATTCATCGTTTGATTTTCGGCCGCTATTTAAAAAGTCACTATGCATCGCATCGTTCACAATTTCCTTTCAAATACGTGAAGATTTTTCAAAAACCACATCTTCCACTCATTCAATAGAACATATGTTTTGCCTACAAATAATCTATGCACACAAATTTTTAGCAAAAAACATACAAAATAGAAACAAATATATTACTTATATCATCAATTAAGCAAGCAAATATAAAAAATTACAACCCTCAAAGCACATTTACATTGAAATTAAAAATTCCGTCCTTACCAAGAGAAAATGCCAAATAACTAAATAAACAAACAAAATTTGAAAAACTTAATCCGTAGATTTTTTCTTTCGAGGCTCCGTCTTTTTACCAATGTCATGAATAATTTCTTTGTCTATTATTGGGTCCAATCACATAGTATCCATTTCTGACATTTTTTTCAACCCATATTTCAATTGATGTGATATTTGGAACACTATTTTTGANGAAAAAAAAAAAAAGAATCCAACCACTCTACTTTAAACTAGATTTTTCTTTAGTTAAGTGCATTTGGATACAAGGATGTAACTGAAGAAGGGAATGGATTTGTTCCTAATTTTGTACCCTTAAATTTAATTTAATTTAATGTTAATTTAAGGGTCATTAAGCTAACTGAGCCCCCCGCACCCGTAAAAGATATTTACTCGTGTGCCCAGATAATTGAGCCCGAAGACATATATATACATCATTTGGGTCATCCAGTCGCCGTTTCGTTCATCAATCAATTTGCATAATTACGAGAATCTCCCTTAGCCCTGCCGCGTTAGTTCACGTCTTGATGAATTCCGGCTGTTCGACCTAATGGGATGCGAATTAGCCTCTGCACAAATGCGAGGCCCGACTCCAGCAGCTCTCCGCGGGCTCTTTTCCACTTTCAATGGAACGCCCAGAAGGTGTTCGACGTCTTACCCAAGTAAAAACATTGTCTTCTATTCGATTCTTTTCCGAACGTCCTTCTCCGCTGCTGCTCTAAGAGCTGAGGAAAAGCCCAACCGGGAATTTAATTATAGACGAAACCCAGAAAAGATACGTTCTTGGCGCGAGGCAAAGGAACCTCAGAGTTGCTATTCGGAGGTCTCAGTTGGCAGGGCGGGAGGGGGTTTGGAGAGTGCCAAGATGAAAAATAAGCTCAAGCGGTACTCAGGGATGTTGAGAGATTGTGCAGCTGAGATACATTTGCGCAAAGGTAAAGTGATTCACGGTCGCATCATTAGAAGTGGGACTGAGCCGGATGAGCACTTATGGGTCTCTTTGATCAATTTCTATGCCAAATGTGGGGAGTTAGGATGTTCGCGCAAAGTTCTCGAGCAAATGCCCGTGAAAGACGTGGTTTCGTGGACTGCATTGATATCGGGTTTTGTAGCTCGAGGACGTGGAGCTGAAAGCCTGGAGTTGTTCTGTGAGATGAGGAGGGAGGATGTGCAGCCAAACGAGTTCACTTTGGCCACTGTTTTGAAGGGTTGCTCGTTGTCTTGGGATTTAGATTTTGGAAAACAAATGCATGCGGAGGTAGTCAAAGCCAGTCTACTATCTGATGTTTATATCGGTTCCTCTTTGATAGATCTTTACTCTAAATGTGGGGAAATGGAATATGCTGATGATGTTTTCTGTATGATGCCGGAGAAAAATGTCGTGCTGTGGAATACTTTACTTAACGGTCATGCACAGGCAGGAAATGGGGACGCAGTTTTGCGATTATTTCGAGAAATGGAAGATCCGGACATGAGATTTAGTAATTACACATTGTCTATTGTTTTAAAGGGAATTGCTGGCTCGGGTGCTCTGGAGGCTGGCCGGGCAATCCATTCTATAGTGGTTAAGGTTGGAGGTGAACTCGATGATTTTGTTAGGTGTAGCCTGCTTAATATGTACTCCAAATGTGGCGCGGCTTATGATTCTGTTAAAGTATTCAAGACAATTAAAAACCCTGATATAGTTGCATGGAGTTCGATTATCAGTGTTGTCGATCAGCAAGGTTGGCCTGAGGATGCAGCCAAATTGTTCCGGCTATTGAGGAATTATGATGAAAGGCCTAATGAGTTTACTCTCTCTAGTATTGTTAGTGCTGCCACTGACTTGGGTGACCTGCGTTATGGTCAGAGCATTCATGCTTGCGCTTACAAATTCAGTCTTGAATCAGATAATTCAATCAGTAATGCATTAATTACAATGTATATGAAACTCGGATGTACTGATGATGGCCACCTCGTCTTCCGGAAAATGGTCAACAGGGATGTGATGTCCTGGAATGTCCTTTTATCCGGATTCCATGATGATGAAACTTCTGATCATGGGCCTAGGTTTTTCAGGCAGATGCTTACTGATAGTTTTAGGCCCAACATGTACACATTTATAAGCATTCTGAGGTGTTGTTCAAGCCTCTTGGACATTGAGTTTGGGAGGCAAGTGCATTCCCGCATAATTAAAGATAACCTAGCGAGTGACAGTTATGTTGGAACTGCTTTAATCGACATGTACGCCAAGTGCTTGTGCATGGACGTTGCAGAGTTGATTTTCAGCCAGTTAAAAACCAAGAATGATGCTTTCACTTGGACAGTTGTCATCTCGGGTTACTCGCAAACCAACCAAGGAGAAAAGGCTGTTCACTGGTTTAATAGGATGAGGAGAGAAGGTGTTGTTCCTAATGAGTTTACCCTCGCCAGCTGTCTGAGGGGTTGCTCATCAGTTGCTAGCCTTGACAATGGTCGGCAGTTTCATTCCCTTTCAATCAAAGTTGGGCTGTCCACAGACGTGTTTGTATCCAGTGCACTTGTCGACATGTACGGAAAATGTGGAAATATCGACAGTGCAGAAATACTGTTTTACGGCACTCATTCACGTGACACTGTTCTATGGAACACGATAATATGCGGTTATGCTCAGCATGGGGAAGGTGATAAGGCTCTTCAAGCATTCACGGAGATGATAGACCAAGTTTTGCCTGATGGAGTTACTTTTACTGGGATCCTTTCTGCTTGCAGCCACAAAGGGTATGTGGAACAAGGGAAAAAGTTTTTTTATTCGATGAGTGAATCCTATGGAGTTACTCCAACTATCGACCACTATGCTATCTTGGTCGATATACTTGGCCGAGCAGGAAAGTTCGATGAAGTCGAAAGTGTTATCAAGCATATGGAGTTAACTCCAAATGCCTTGATCTGGGAGAATGTTCTCGCGGCATGCAAATCTCATGGAAATGTGGAATTGGGAGAAATAGCAGCTGAGAAGCTCTTTGAGTTGGCTCCCGGAACAGATTCAAACTACATTCTGTTATCTAATTTATATGCGAGCAAAGGGAGATGGAATGATGTGGCGAGGGTTAGGGCTTTGATGACCAATAAAGGCATAAAAAAAGAACCAGGGTGCAGCTGGGTCGAGGCTGATGCTCGAGTTCACGTTTTTCTGTCTCAGGACACATCACATCCGAGGTTACTGGATATTCATCGCAAGTTGGACGAGTTAAATGAAAAAGTTTCTGAAGCGGGTTATGTGCCTGACACGAGTTATGTGCTTCATAATGTGACAGAAAACAGTAAGGTGGATAATCTTTTTGGTCATAGTGAGAGGTTGGCCTTAGGTTTTGCTCTTATAAACAGTGTTGGTAGTAAAAGAATCAGGATATTCAAGAACCTTCGGATATGTGGGGACTGCCATGAATTTATGAAGTTGGTTTCTGGGATCGTTGATCGAGAAATTGTGGTTCGTGATGCCAGCCGTTTCCACCACTTCCGACATGGATCGTGCTCGTGTAAAGATTATTGGTGATTTTTGTTAACAGTAATTTTCTGGTCAAAGGGAGTTTTGGGCCACAGGCAATGGTGTCAAATCTGTTCGAGAAGATTTTACGTGAATGTGTTGAGGTTCACGATGAAGTTAGGGCTGTCGTTGCTGCTTGAAGACTTGGTCATGGGCAATGTGGAGAATCCTTATGTAAGGCAACGCAAGCTTTTTTGTTGATTGCCTTAAGTTTTGTTTGTTTATTTGATAATTTTGTTTTGGGCCACTAGCCTGCATGCTGTTGTTGAAGACTTAAGAGATATAATTATCTCCGCCTTCTTTTGTTTTGTACTGTCGAGTTTTCATGTTGAGTCGCAAATTTCCTTCAATCTTTTAGTTTGCAATGTTTAAGTGAGTCTTAATTCCATTAAGCTGTTTCTTGGAGACGGTCTTTAACATTTTCTGATGTGTGGTTTAATAATAGGTTTATGCTATTTTTTCATTGGTCTATTCTATTTGCTTCTGTAGTTCTCTCCTAAATGCTTTATACTGTTGCTACATCTCAGATCACCACTGGTTTGCGGCTTTCTGGTCTGATAGAGCCTTCAATTTTTGGGACAAAGATGGTAAGCAGTCGATTATGGTATAAAATATATTTCTGTTTCAGTAGTTATTACTTATTAGATCTAGATTTATTAGATCTAGATTGCAAAATTCGTCGCACTTTCTTTCAGTTCTTTCTTTTCTACTGTTTTGTTTATTTAGGCTATGCTGAGGTGCAGTCAATCAATTACCTTGCAGCATTTTCAACAATGACAGCTCCATCTTTGTGAGTCCTTTTCTGATTAGGGTTGAAGTGTTTTTTTTTCCCAATCCTTTTCTTTTTCATCCATTTTTTGTACTCAAATTGGTTGCTGATTTTTCTGACTGTGTGAGAAAGTAAATTATACTCCCTCCTATTTTTATTATTTGTCACTCTGGCTTAATTGATCATTGATTAAATAAATGTCGTTTTGGCTATTTTGTTCATATTTTTCCATTTTTAACCCTCCATCTTACACACAGTGTCTCTTCATATCCCATCTCCATCGTTTCTCATAACATCCATTAAATAGGGTTAATATTGTCAAGAAAAAAAAATTCTTAATTAGTGTATTGCTTCTCAAAACGACAAATAATAAATATAGGAGGGAGTATTTCATTTCTTAGGATACAGGATATGACTATATGTGGCTTGAGGTTAGAACCGTGGGAGTGAGTTTAAGTAAGAAATATGATAAACCCTTTACTATATAAAATATTTTGGTTTGGTTATACCGAACCATATGTATCCCATTCCCGAAACAAAGTTAATCCAAAAATTCGGTTTGATTTGATCAGTTTTTCGGTATAAAATGCTGCCCCTAGTTCTAACTCTATATCTGCGACTATAGGTTTGATCGTCTGTACAACCTCTAAATAGTTTTAAGAATTTCTATTTTTTTTAGCCAATCCAAACAAAGAATTTCTAATTTCTAGTTTTGGCAAAATCTTGAAAAGGAAAGAAGTGCTCAATTTTCTTGTTTTTTTTACCTCTCTTATTTAGTTGTATTATGACTGCAGCAAAGGTGCGGAATATCATAATCCATCAAATGGCAACGACCTACATGATATCTACATCTTCTTCAGGTACCTTACTCAAACATACCGAAGCTTAATACCGAGTTTCTTCTAATGCTTTCTTATATAAATTATAAGTGCACCAAGTTGGCGTAATGTAGGATGCTGAGCTGAAGGCCAAATCACATGCCATAACCAGCAGCAGAAAGTGATGAAGAAAAAATATTCCATTTCAGATGGACGAAAGTTGTACGTTCTGTATTAGGAGCTCATGCGTATTAAGTCAATTTGTCTTTGGATATCTGTGAAGTCATTTCTTAATCTGCTTATAATGATCATGCTTGTGGCCCCTAGTGAAACTGTATGTATGGTTAATTGTTTTTTTCTTGGAGAGCATCCAACGCCGTACTGCATGGTAAAGGATTTTTATTTTATTTTTTTTATTTTTTTTTAATCTACTTCAGTGATGGTATGCAAGATATTGATTCACCTCATAGTAGCTATTGGCTACACGTACCAGAAAGTGCTATTAGTGTGGAAACTAAACAGATATTATTCTTGTTAGAGCATCTCCAATGCTATGGTTTTGAAAGCCAATGATTTATAACACATGTCAATTAATGATTGTAATGTTAATCCACATAGGAATAATGTTAAAAGAATGAAAATTTGAATCAAATTAGTATCTCCAATGCATCAATTTGATAAGAAGTTATTTGTATAGGTGGACCAATTATAATAATTGATTGATACAAAAATAATAAAAAAATAAATCAAATATAAAGTGAACTGATGAGTCATCATGTTTAACATGGTGTTAGATATTAGAAAGTGAGTTCAACAATGTCAATATTAAATGCCATCCACATCATCATGAAAGAACTAATGACAAGATGCATTGGAGAATAAATTAGTAACAAAATTTCAAGAATTGATGATATGGATAAATTTTTACAATGTCAAAAGTCACATTGGAGATGCTCTTAGTATTATTTGTTTTGGGGTGTTGTTGAGGATATGTTTTGGGGAATTTTGCTGAAATAAAATTCTTTCGTCTTCTATCTTTTTTTTCCCTTGTCCTGGGAAGACATGAAACCCAAGTCACGCCAGGACTGCAACAATTAAATTAAATTAAATTAAATTGTTGTAATTATTAAACTTTAGATTTATTCAAACAATGTTTTACAAATAAATTTGATCTCTCTCTCTCTCACACAGGCATTCTCAGTGCTCGGTAGATGTTTTAATTATATAACTCATGCGAGGTTGATGTCATACAGGTTTTAGAATTTAAGGCCACCATTTGGTAAAAATTGAATGAGTTGAGAAAAAAAATGTCCCATCCAACGTATTGAGAGTTTTGCCCTTGTGGAGCTACAAGTGCACTAACTGAAAGAAACCGAATGATTTCAGCGCCAAAATACTTTATCAAGTTTTAACAAGTTTCATCTATTCAATAGAGAATGCTACATTGCTGATAAATAAAATACAGTGGTATGCCTTCACAACACCACAACTCCAACAAGGAGATAATACAACTGCTCATCGCATCATCAAATCTCTCTCTCTCTCTCNAAAAAAAGAAAAAAAAAAGACTATTGATCTAATACACAACACCTTTGCCTCCCCATAACCGAGCCACACTACAAACCAAACCGTCATCATCTGGGGCCCGAAAGCTCATCTGGCCGAATATTATAAGTGGAATCAGCAATTATCCAGTCGGTGGCCGTATTATGCGACTGACTGAACTCCTGCCGGAATATTTCCTCCCTTTGCCACTCTTCCCACCTCTCAGCCAACCCATCACCTTCTAACATCCTCACCACTTCAGACATCTTAGGACGTTCGGTTGGGGAGCTCTGCGTGCAGAGTAGGGCCACCTGTAGCAGTTGCTCCACCTCCCCTTCTATGAAGTTCCCCTGAAGATCTGCATCCACCAATGTTTCCAGCTTCTTTTCCTTCAAAAGTCCCTTCACCTGACAAATTGTACACAAGAGAGGACTAAATGTAAGAAATTATGATGCTGCTTCAGTAAATGGAAATCCAAGCAATCCAAATTCCCGTGATATGTGAAAAAGAGAGATAATAGAGAAAATTAAACTCACACAAAAAGATATTTGATGATAGTATTCTAAACCTAAGAGCATCTGCAATGCATTGGGTCTAGTTTTGCCTATGTGTCATGTAAATAAACCCAAGTCTTGGTTGACATGGATAAAACTTTATAAAATTAACAAAATTCACTCCAATGCAAAGAGACTATGTCGCTACTTGCGTCTAAAATAGACTTAAGGGGAGACTGAGTCTCTTTTTCTCAGCAGGACCCAGTCTACTTGCACTTGCATTGGAAAATATATTTTTTTTAGACTGGATCTATTTCTTATGTGGCATATCAATTCTTTTGAATGAACCCAATGCATTATAGATGCTCTTACATGCTATTTACAATTCTAATTTCGACAATTATTTTTTTCATCACATCCTAGAAATTAGAATACATCAGCTATTCCAAACACCTTAAACAGTGGCAGCCACCAAATTCTCTTTGGCAATTATAACTCAAGAATAAAAAACAAACTAATTCAATACGCCACAAAAGATAACCAGCAAAAAACAAAAAAAAAAAAAAAAAGTTATGGTTCGAATCTCAACAGTATGAAAAGCATACGTGAAGTGATGAATCTCACCCAATCAAGTAACATGACGTCGTCATCACTCGCAAGCCGAGCCAGATCGAATGCCCTCTGCCCAGTTATGAGTTCAAGAAGCATGACCCCATAGCCAAAAACATCGGTTTTCTCAGAGGATTTACCAGTGGACAAGTACTCTGGGGCTATATGACCAATTGTTCCCCGTACAGCTGTCGTCACATGAGTGTCTCTATAGTCCATCAGCTTGGCCAGCCCAAAGTCGCCAACAACGGCCTCAAAGTCCTCATCCAAAAGTATATTGGCAGCTTTCACGTCACGATGGATGATTTTAGGGTCACAGTGGTCGTGCAAGTAAGCGAGTCCTCTTGCGGAACCAAGTGCTATATGTTTTCTTTTTGCCCAATCGAGTGGAGGTGTTGATTCGGGTCTTTCTGCAGTAAATAATTAAAAGCTTCTTACAGATGAGACAAGTAACAGGCCCATGCAAGTTTCTATAAGTGATCTTGCAGAATTAGAGATGTTCAATTGAATTATAATGTTCAGGAGTAATTAAAGAAGGAAAGCACGAATAGTAAAAACTATCCCTGAGATTTTTCTTAAATGACAAAAGGCTCTAGATGTTCTCAGTTAATAATATCCATGAAAAATAAAGAACCTGAAGTTTTCCTTCTACAATTAACTTTAACACTCAGAAGCCAAACACTTTCAGACATCCCCCAAGGATTTTCAAAATATTAGAGCTGTGCCTTACATATATAGCACATAATCCAACTGTAGGAGTAAGTTCTGCAATTTTAAACTTTTCAGGATATTTTCATGATAACCCGAAACTTCAGAGGCAGCTTTTGGAGAGAAACTAAACCTGAAATTTAGCATTACCAAGAATCATAAAATTAATTTCAACCATTTCCTTATTTAATTTCCTTTTCAATTAGGCTAAACCTCTCAGGGATATGTTATGCAGTTAACCCTATTTCTCATCATTCAACAAATCTCAACCAATGAAACAATATTCAGGAATAGCTTACAAATTGGTAATTGTTGGAAAATAATTTCTGATATAATTTTCCATCTAGCAGTGGACATGGTAAACTAGTGTCATTAGCATTTTCAAGTGGAGCAGTTAAATACCTCTTAAGCATGATGCTACACTCCCATTAGCCATGTAAGGATAAACAAGCAGCCTTTCTGTAGGCGTCATGCAAAAACCACGCAGCCGGAGTAAATTCCGGTGCACGGCCATGCTAATCATTTCTACTTCGGTTTGGAACTGAAGCTCCCCACCTTGTGTACGCTCTTCTTTTAGCCTCTTGACGGCCACTAGAGAACCATCAGCCAACCGCCCTTTGTATACCTTGCCGAAACCGCCTCTTCCGAGAATGTTCTTGTTGCTGAAATTATCTGTTGCAACTTGGAGCTCACGCAGGGAAAATCTCTTGAGCTGGCCTAGATGTACTTCTGGATCCTCCTCAGCTGCAATTACGTATATATTATAAAGTGAAAATTGGCAATATCTTCTGTAGGATTTAATTGCAAAAACTATCCTCATGGTATACCCAAATTATATTTTAAAGGAAAATGAAGGCTAAAGACCCAGTTATCTTTTAGAATTTACAATTTTGCAAATTACACTACCGACGGGTTTGCATTTTATTATACTCATCTAAGGGGGGGTTGTAATTGAACTATTCCTTCTTTAATTATGATGGCAAATTTTTAAATCATTAATCCACAAACCGGGAACATCAAAGAAATGTTCTTGGGGCTTCTGTCGCCGGTACCAAGCGAGTGCAATTGCAGGAGCAGCAAATAGAAGGGCAGCAGCAGCAGCAACACCTCCCGCAATGGCTGCAGTAGTACTGCTTCCAACTGCAAAGGTACTTATAACTGTAAGGCTTGCTGTTTATTTATTCATGTCCAGAAAAATTCTTATACCCCAAATGCGGAATCCATTGATCTAGAAAATAATGGAATCAAACAAAAGTACCTTCTGGAATCAATGTCTTAGTTAAGTTCTAATTTTAAGGAATGTCAACCTTTATTAACCACAATAGTTATCTTACCATATTACATGAATATGAGGTTTATTATACTCTATATATTCTTTATCTTCATGATAAATTCGTGATTACTAAAAGTCACAAATAATACTCATTACCAGGTGTGTCGTATTATAAGGACAACTGTCTGAAGCACATTTGTACTTTTTAGCAGCGCAAAACTGAAATAACCAAAGATACACAAAATTCTATGTGTGCATGGAAGAAAAGCGGCTGAATGCATTGTATGCAAATGCTCTCACTTCTGGGTAGCAAATTGCAAATGTATAACACCTTTTAACTCCAAAATGTGTTCGCATATATTTATCAAATTAAATAGACAAACTTCATCTCATAAAAAAGAGTAGGTAAAGAGGGTGGATGAACCTGGAGTAGAAGCTGGCGGCGCTGGTGCAGCTGGAGGTGGTGTATTGCCACTACTATAATTTAACTGATTACCCGCAAAACTTGACACAGAAAGTTAAATGTGAGCGATAAAATGGAGAAGGGTCACAATTTTAAAATTTATTTAAAGCACAAGAACTGCATTAAACCTAATAGGGGTGAAAAGCTGAAAGGATCCGTTCACTGGAATTGGTCCAGTGAGATGATTATTTGAAAGATCGCTGCATATATTGAAACATGAGAACATAAATTAGCACAAAACACCAAAATAAAAGCAAAACACAAAAAAAGTTAAAAGATGATTGGCTGAATTACTGCTTACAGGACTTGAAGGGTATTGATGGTAGTTAGAGAATATGGAATTTGTCCAGTCAAACTGTTATTGTTGAGCCTTCTGTATTGTTCAAGGCCAAAACATATTTACTTTCAAATTAGCGACCAAACAGATGAGAGAATGAAGTCAAAGTTGTCATTAAATTGCAACATTGTACACTGTCTAACTTGAACCCCCTAAGTCTTTAATATGGATTTTGCACACATTTTATCAGAAATTTAGTGTTCCCTGTTTTAACAATCATCTGTTTAGCTTACACAAGGTAAAATGTTTCTAAGTATAAACTCTGTTTCCTGCAGAGCCAATCACAGCATCCAACTCAATGCAAAACACAGAAACTCAACCATATGAACTTTGAAACAACTTCAGTAATAGTTAACAGAATATGAAGTGAAATATTTTCCACTCATAGTTATTACAGTGAGTTATAGCTACTGTACACCAAAGCTTCAACTGCTAGTTGTTCATTTAGCAAGAGAACATAGCAACAGCAACAAAAAAGGAAAAAGAAAAAAAGTTTAGCATATTTATTTCTTGACGGAACCACACCCTCATAAATCTTAAACCATTGATGTGAAAGCCAAAATTGATACTTATTGCCCCCACGGCCCTTCACAATATACTTAACTTCAAGTGATGCAAATAAACATGATGATTTTAAAGGATGAAAACAAACATATGAGTAGAGCCTTCAATTATTCTACTTAGCATTTAAAACGAAATAATTCAAATCCCCCGTAATCATCTAGTCATAAATGGCATATATCTTACCTAAAAATTAGGGAAAAAAATGAGCAATAAAGGGAGAATACAGAATTGAGACCATACAAGAATCGTAGTCCCCGGACCCTCGACAATGTATCAGGGATTGGACCACTTAGGTTGTTCATATACAAATCCAAGCTAATCAAGTTGGTCAAGTTTCCGAGTTCACTTGGAATTCTTCCACTAATATTGTTACTGTACAGTTCCCTGCCATAGAAAGACGGAGATCGTGACACGTTCTTTTTAATTTTCAATGGAAGCCTTTATATGTTAGTTACCAATTACCATAAACTATTAATGTACTACTTGCCTTTTATACTAAAGTAAACAGTAGTAGTTACGGTTTTGCTATGGAGCCAACAGTTGACTCCATAGTGGAGCCAACCTTAGTTATCTTAAAATTTCAGGGAATTGTTATACTAGTTTAGAATATTGTCTCCAGTTTGGGACAGGCCAGAAAGATTACCCAAGGAATGTTATTTATTGACTGAGTTAAAATTATCAAGGTTCTTATNAAAAAAAAAAAAAAAAAAAAAAAAGAACTGTTGGGCTTCACATGATTTAGATTTAGACCATCAATACAAAATATAAGGCCACATGTAATGCATCTAACATAGGTAACGCGAACCATGACTTTCCATTCCTTGAGGACAGTAGATTGTCATTTGAAAACCAAATGATGAATCATTCAGAATTGTAAAGGAAGACTCACAAGTACTCCAAATACTGGAGCTGACCAAGCTGTGGAACCAGTTGGCCTAACAAATTTGCATTGCCAAGATCACTGCAAACATAGATCAATAATGATATTCCATCAACCCATAATGCTGCAAGAGGTCCAGTAAAGCATGTCGAAATGAGGGAGAAAAAACCGTTCTTACAGTCTAGTAACACTATTTTCACTGTTGCATGTAACGTGAAACCAAGTGCATGGATTAACAAGAGTCGGATCCCAACTCGAGAGAACACTGTTAGGATCAGACAAACTATTCCTTAACGCATTCAACGCATCACCTGTCACATATAACTCTTTTACATTTGCACATTTCAATGTCAAAATTCCAGTTAGGATACAAGTAAAGAGCATAATACCATCAAATAACCAGCTAATCATGCAGAACATGAATATTTCAGGCGATCACAAATCAAGATAGAAACTGAAACTCATCTTGAGTAGAGAACCACAAATTCTGATTCAACTCCCAGTCAGTCAACAAACTAAAATCATTTTTATTTCATAACTCACCATTTTATTGGCACAGGCCACAAAATTAGAACAATGTCATCCCCAATATAGAAGGATGATCCAAAAAGTCTATAACCTTGAATTAGCTTAAAAACCCACAAATTACAGAGTCCTATAAAAGACAAATTACAACCATTCGTGCAGATCCCAATTCAAGTCAACTAGCAATAGTTACAGAAACCTCATCAGCCCAAAATTGACACAGAACTAAAAAGACTTCAAAATTGATAAGCAGAGGCGAAATTTCAGACCTTCAGCATTGGCAAAAACCGGCGATAACCTTGCAAGCACCAGAGCCAAACAGAGGCAGCCCGAGTAGAAGATTGTCGCCATCGACCACCGATCCATGGAAAGCTCTGCCCCCATATCAAGCCACATAAATATCGTGATTCCTCATCAAATATTACAACTAAATCCACCAAATTCTAACCTAAGCTACACGAGCATCAGCCCAACCTCGCCACTTTCACAACAAAAGAAAAAAAAACAAAAAAAGTGCCAAGGTGAAATTTGTCTTCTCAGCAGCTCCTGAACTGAATTGAAGAAGATCACCCGCTTTCCTTGAGAAAGTAGGAACTGGAAACAGAAGAAAGCAAAGGGAAAAACACGGAGGAGAAGAAAAAAACAAAAGCAATGATACGGAAATTTCGGAGTTGATTTAGTGGGAATGTGAAAGGGAAACGGAATGAGAGGTGGAGGTGGAGGAAGATTCTCCTTTTTCTTACTGTGCAAGTGCAACTTTTCAAATTGAAAGTCGTAGTTGAAAGTTTGGTCTGACAGTAAATTCCCGGAGCATATAGCGGTTAAAGCCTGTTAAGAAAAACATAAAAAAACGTGTGGGAATTGAAAAAAAAGAAGGATTTGCTATTGTCGAAGAAAGATTGACGGATTATGTTATGCATGTCAGTCAAACACACAGAACTTTTATCTTAAAATAAACATTTCATAGTTCAAAGTTCAAACTAAGCAAGCTATAAAGTTCTACTGATATTAATACCTTCATTATTTATGGCTAAAGTGCACAACTATCATGTCAAAGTTTGAAAGAAATACAGGAATACAGGAATCTAAAAAGAATTCCATGCACACAATTGTGAGGAATAGGATTCTACAACTTATAACTCATGATTATTAATTATAGTATATAATTTTTTCGAAAAAAGATGATCAATAGTGGTTCCCCACTTACTGCCTTGGATGACTCAAATTCGAGACCCATTGGAGTCTTAAGTGAAGGGTGTTATCAACAGAGCTACCCCTTCGCATCTAATTATGGTATATGCTTAAGTATCTTTCAATTAGTAGATAATCGCCACAACCTTCATAATTTGGAAATGATGTCACAAATGCCTACATAATAGCTTGTGACAGCACCAGACAATTCGATTCACAGGAGGTCGTGAAAATATTAACAAATATTTTATTCGTATTGATCCAGGGGCGGATTTATTAAAAAAAATTGAGGGGGACAAATCGTATAATTATCAATANTTACATATAAAATTAAAAATAAAAGATGCATAAAACTTTTTTATACCTTTTCATCTTTGGTAGCGACCTCAATATTGTTTTCATATATCCATGTTCTTTAGAATTATACTTGATGTTCTTTCAAGTTAGTGATATATTGTGAACCAATATCTCTTACAATTTCAAGTGTTTTTGTATCTATAATTTACCCCATTTTAAATTTTTACATTCTCATAGATTTAACTAAACTAAATATAAATTTACAAATATATATATAGGGAATGGTTCAGATGCGTCCCCTTTTTCAAAGTGAGGACGTGAGACCTGATCTGGTCCGTTCACCACTCATCTAATCTAACGTTCAGAATTAATTTATTACATTAATTAATATTTCGCGGGTGGTACGTCTTCAGAACTCTACTTTACTTTCCCTCTCTATTTTCGCACGTGCTCCTTGTTTCTGTTCCATTCTCTTCCATTTTCGATTTCGATTTCGATTTCGCGGGCGATACGTCTCAATTTCTGTTTCCGTTTTATCGTTCGTAGTCTATTCTCACAGATTCTCGTCTTAATTGGTGAGTATTTTTGCTGTTGTTTTTGTTTGTAATAACTTTTTCGATTTTAGGTTTTTCATTCTTTCATTTAATAAATTAAAGTAATATGTTTTGGTTATTTTTTCTAGGTTAGTTGTCTGATGCTGCTAGGTTCGCTGTCTGATGCTGCTAGATTAGTGTATGATGCTGCTAGATTAGTGTATGATGTTGCTAGGTTAGTTATCTTTGCTGCTAGGTTAGTTGTCTGATGGTGCTAGGTTAGTTACCTGTAGCTGCTATGTTAGTTGTCTGATGTTGCTACGTTAGTTGTCTTTTGCTGCTAGGTTAGTTGTCTGATGCTACTAGGTTAGTTGTCTGATGGTGCTAGATTAGTTGTCTGATTTTGCTAGGTTAGTTATCTTTACTGCTAGGTTAATTGTCTGATGCTGCTAGGTTAGTTGAGTTTTGTTGCTAGGTTAGCTGCTATGTTAGTTGTCTGATGTTGCTAGATTAGTTGTCTTTTGCTGCTAGGCTAGTTGTCTTTTGCTGCTAGGTTGGTTGTCTGATGTTGCTAGGTTAGTTGTCTGATGTTGCTAGGTTAGTTGTCTTTTGCTGCTAGGTTAGTTCTCTGTAGTTGCTTGGTTAGTTGCAAGTTTACTTTTCTGTTGATGCAAGGTTTGTTATATCTATTTGACATTTTTTTTTTGTAACTCAGTTTAATTTGAACAAATGGAGCCTCAGAGGGATGATGACATTCTTTTGCTGACTGATTCATCTCACAATCCTGTACGTCAACGGCAGTCTGATGCTAAAATTCGTTTCCCAAGGCTCTCAACACGGTCTTCTCCAAAAGTTTTGGTTGAGTCCATTGCTCAATTAAATGATGTTCAGAAAAGAGCTGTAGAGAAAATGGGGTTTGGATATTTGCTGCATCTTAACATTAAAGAGATTCCAACCAATTTATCTTTCTGGGTGTTGGATAATTTTGACCCAATTAGCTCTGTATTGCGTTGTAGTGAGGGCAAAATCCACACTGAATCTGTTGATGTGGAGAAGGTATTAGGCTTCCTTAGAGGGGATAAGACTATTGAATTAAAGAGAAAATCTGAGTGTTGTGAGTTGTTGGATAATTGGAGGAGTAAGTTTACACAATCTTCTGATAAAATCACTGCTGAAATCGTGAGCAAGGAAATGTTGGAGGGTCGTGATGGTGGTGAAATGTTATGTTGTCATTTTGCTGCTTTGGTGGATGCTCTGATAATTGGATCAATATCTGCTGGTTATGTCAACCCACTTTTCTTCAAGTCCATTAATGACATAACATCTGTATCTAACTTCAATTGGTGTGAATACACTCTTCAAAGTTTGATTTCAAAAAGAATAAAATGGGAAAAGACCAACAAGACTGCTTTTAATGGGCCTCTTCTGTTTCTCGTTTTAAGAATGTATTTTTATATTATTCTTAAACAATTTATATTCTATTTTTTATATATATATATATATATATATATAAATTTGTTTTTTTCCAAAATGCAGGTTTTATACGTTGATTGACTTGCTTTTGTAAATCGTGAGGTTCCAAGGAGTCTGCCCTCCTTTGTTGGTTGGAACTGTGACCTGTTGCGCAAGAGATCCAATACTGAGGCCAAAATTGGTGGTTTTGGCCGAGGTTTTGTTGATGAACGTTTGGAACAAATGCCATTACAGTCATTAAGATCAAAACAAAAGGAAATGTCTGATGATTTTGTTCAGGTTGGTATTTTTTTTATTTGTCTGTAATCCAATGATTTTAGGTATATCTTGTTGCTGAGTTAGTTTTTTGCTGTTGCTAGGTTATTTCTTTGTTTTTGCTAGGTTAATTGTCTTTTGTTGCTAGGTTAATTGTCTTTTGTTGCTAGGTTAGTTGTCTTTTGCTGCTAGGTTAGTTATCTATAGCTGCTAGGTTACTTCTTTCTTGTTGCTAGGTTAGTTATCTGTAGGTGCTAGTTTAGTTGTCTATTATTGCTAGGTTAGTTATCTTTTGCTGCTAGTTTAGTTGTTTCTTGTTGCTAGGTTAGTTATTTGTAGCTGCTAGGTTAGTTGTCTTTTCTTGCTAGGTTAGTTGTCTTTTGCTGCTAGGTTAGTTGTTTCTTGTTGCTAGATTAGTTATCTGTAGCTGCTAGGTTAGTTGTCTTTTCTTGCTGGGTTAGTTGTCTTTTGTTGCTATGTTAGTTATCTTTAGCTGCTAGTTTAGATGTCTGATGTTGCTAGGTTAGTTGTTTAATTTTCCTCCATATTTTCTTATAATTGTTCACTCTGTTTAATTTTATGTATAAACAGGGTTATAAATCCAAGCTTCTTAGCAAGGTTATGTGCTTGGCTACTGGTGTGGTGGATGTTATAACCTTGCTTGAAGATGCCCCCCATGAAGTGTCTGAAGATTTAAATTATAAGAAGATACAATAAATAACGAAAAATCTTATTTCTTTTAGTCCCGATGTACCTCAATCTTCTCAGAAGACAGATTCTGTTGAAGATAGTGAAGAAACAGCTGCTTTCTGGAATGATCCAGAAACAATTGCAGCTATTGAGAAGATTGAGCGTGCCATTGGGAAGAGGGCTGCATACAAAAAGAAGACACAAGATGATGCTGTTCCCAGTTTTTCATTGGGATTGAGGTTGTCCTCCCAGTCCCAAGAGAGTGACAGAGGTTGGGAGGACATTCTAAATGTTTCAAGGCAGTTTTCAACTAATAACAAAGTTGATGATGATGGTTCTATCCCCCAACCGTCTGTTGAGCCAGTGAAAATAAAGAGCCAGAGATTAGAGAGAGAGAGAGGAATTGAAGAAAGAGATGGAGAAGAGAATTAAAGAAAGAGAGGATGAAGAAAGACAAAAGAAAGAGAGAAAGGACAAAGAAAGACAAGAGAAGGAGAAAGAGAAAGAGACAGAGGGAATTGAAGAAGAAAAAGAGATTGAAGAGAACCAACCTATCTCTCTCTTCTGTTGGAGAAACAGAAGTAGAAACAGAAAGAGAGAGAGAGAGAGACACTTGAAAAAGAAAAAGAGAAAGAGAGAGAGAGAGAATTGAAAAAGAAAAAGAGAAGCAGAGAGAGAAGCAGGAGAAAGAGAAAGAGAAAGAGAAAGAGAGAGAGAGAGAGAAAAGAAGAAGATAGAGAAGAAAGAGAGAGAACATAAACAGAGGGAGGAGAAGGAGAGAGAAGTCAGAGAGAGAGAAAAGAAAGAGAGAGAGAGCAGAAGGAGAGAGAGGAGAAGGAGAGAGAGAAGAAAGAGAGAGCAGAAAGAAACACATGAGAAAGAGAGAGAGGAGAAAGAAAAACATGAGAAAGAGAGAGAGAGGAGAAAGAAAGACAAGAGAAAGAGAGAGAAAAAGAGAAAGAGAAGAAGCTGAGGGAGGAGAAGGAGAAGGAGAGAGAGAGTTCAAAAAGAAAAAGAGGTTGAGAGAGAGAGGTTGTAGAAAGAAAAAGAGAAAGAGAGAGAGAGATAGAATGAGGCTTGAAAAAGAAAAAGAGAAAGAGAAAGAGAGGGAGAGAATTTAGAAAGAGCAGGAGAAGCTGAGACAGAGAGAGAAAGTGGAGAAAGATGAGAAAGAAAAAATGGAGAAAGAGAAGAAAGAAGAACAAGAGAAAGTGAAGAAACATGAGAAGTCGAAAAGGAAACTGAAAGACAATGAGAAACTTGCATTGAAACAATACAAATATCAAAAGCAGGTTCAAGAGATCAAGAAATATATGATTGGATATTGGATGAAGAAGATCAGGAGACAATGTAAATTTTCATACTTGAGAGATTTTATATATTTTTTCACATTTTATTGCATTTATTAATTCCAATTTATATTTTCTTGTTCTTTTCTTATTTTTGTGCTGTCAGGTATGAGACAATTTTTCAGAATGG